TTTGATCAAATACGTCCATATTCATTAGAATCTTATTAAAATTACTTGTGTAACTAATATAATTAGACCAAGTATTTTTAATCCCACTACATATTTCAGCATTTATCTGTCTTCTTAATTCCAATTTAGCTCTTAGTTGCTCCTCCTGATTTCTATTTCATAAGGATATATTAATACACAGAAATGAAAGCACTTTTCTTAGTGTGGCTACAATCCTATTGTTAATGCTTCTTTCAAGACTAGACAAGGAAGTTGCATCTTGTTTTGATAAAGAACTCAAGGATCTATTTGCGTAAATGATCACAGAAAGATTGTTGTAAGAGTGTAAATGATCCAAGTATCAAACTCAAATCGAGCTCAAGTGTAATTTACGTAACACTTGAGAGATTTGCGAAAGAATTTTATTATTATTAAACTAGTATATTTTATAAGGTAGTTCAAGTTCTTTTTTTAATGGCAAGTTTCATTTATAGGGAGGGATACCAGCCTGTTAGTTTATTAATACACAGAAAGATCTAAATATAACATAGAGTTTGGGAGGGGAGGGCCAAACCTGACTTCAAATAAAAGGCAAAAAATGTAAAGAAGGAGTAGTGGAGTTCTACTCCCTTATATCCATGCTGTTAAAACTAATTACAAGACATTACCTTCTACGAAAAGATAGAAATCCTATCCTATCGAGCTATAAATCACCACGAACTAGCCTAGGCAAATTAGCAAACGAATTATAAATGGAATCGCCGTTAGAAAGAGCACCAACATTAGACAACCGATCAACAAGGCGATTAGCTTCTCTATAACAATGGTTAATTCGACAAATATAGCGCTGAAATTGCATAAGATCAAACAAATCTCGTTCTAGTTTCCACAGACAAGTATATAAACCATTAAGAATATTCATTAAAACCAAACCATTAAAAATATTCACTAAAACCAAAGAATCAGACTCCAAATATAGACATTAAAAACCCCAAGAAACACAAGCCTTCACTCCAAATAACAAAGCCTATAACTCAACCTTTAGACTAGTAGTAATGCCAAAATGATATGAAAAGGCCATCAAAAAATGGCCCTGGCAATCACGCAAAATGCCACCTCCCCCACGAAAACTAGGATCAAGTTCTAAAGCAAACGGACAAAGATGGAGGAAACCGTTTAAGTTCTAAAGCAAACACCTCCAGAGTTCATGAAAATTACAGAGTAACCAGCCCATTGGTTAGTATTCACTTGAGGATCCGCACATTTAGCACTGTTATGATATAATTTGTTGTTCCATATATCGTATGGTGGTGTTACTGGAAAGCGGAAGCGTCCCATATCTTAACTGTTGAAGAATTTTCAGTAGAATATTTCTTGAAGTTTCCAATATGAATTAGGTCTATAATCAACGAGACGAAACAAAAAAAAGGAGGCCTAGCAGAAATTGACATCTTTATTACATTAGCGCAAAAAAATAAATAAATAAAAACGTACTGAAAATTTTAGTTTTTAATTCTGCATGATTGAAGTCTGTCCATTAGTGCTAGTAAGTGCTTAATTTACGTGCTTTCGTGCGGTGAATTGTATGCATTTTAGTCATTACAAAAGCCAAATAACTAGATTTTTAGTTGAATTTTGCATTTTGTGATGAAATGAGAAAAACTACATTTCTATGAATTTAAGTGTGAAGGTTTCATGTTTTTTGTAGGTTTTAATAATTTAATCATCAATTGGAATGAAATGAGAAAATACTTGCGTGATCCTTGATAATTTGAAGTGATTTCAACTGAATATAAAGTGCAAAACGATCAAAGTATGAAATGCAATTAAGTTTAAAGGAAGAAAAGTATTTGCAGTCTTGATATATTTTAGTATTTTGGCCATAATTTGAACTACACCTTTTGGATTGAGATGATTCTTGAAGCGTTTTAAAGTTAAGACCAATGGATACAATTCTTATAAGACATTGACGTCCAAATTACACATTTTGAAGGTCAAAAGACTGAAATATATGCATGCATTTTTGGAACATTCTTTTGACTAGTGTGGAGTATTTTGATCATAACTTAAGACGTAGACCTCCAGGTCACTTGATTCTTAAGTTGTTACAAAGCTAACTCAATAGAATGTAACTTTCATTTTTTTTTCACAAGAGCCGGTTGGGCCATCTTCATGGAGATATTTTTACATCAAATCAGGGCAGCAGCAAACCTGGCCCAGAATTCGGTCCCAGATTATAGGCCGAATTCAAGGCAAAATGCAACTTCTCCAAGATCAAAACAGAGCAACAATCCAGTCATGAACACTAAACTAATCCAGTGCCACATTGTGGGCTCCATTATAGTCAGAGAGTGCGGTTGCAATGTGCTCAACTTTTACAACATGCTCAAACTTGCTCACTTTTTCATGGAAATTCAAGGGATGTTTTTGCTGCTGAAATGAAGGCTCTAGACCATCTTTTGAACTCCTTTCTCTCTCTATAAACGTTGTTGAAGGATTGGAGAGTAGAGAACTTCATCATAAAAATGTAGCTCTTATATTCTCTTAGTTTAGGTTAGTGTAGGAGCAGTTTAGAGTTGTTAGATCATACTTTCTTGTATAAAGTTGAACCATGATAAATAGAGCGCGGAGCCAGAAAAAATTTTAATGAGGGGAAAAACAACTCTAAAATTTTTACCTACTCTTTTTCTAGTTTTTTAAGTAAAAATAAATTCACCAACAAGTACAAATGATGGTTATATTCCATGAAAAACATAAAAAGACAAACTCAAAATTATTAATGTAATAATAATTTTATTTCAAAAAGCAAATTAAAACATTTACAATTGCTCATGACTAGTTTTCATATTTTGATAACGGTTTACAACCTTCTCGTTTTGAACTTCACGAATTATATTTTCTCAATGTAAGTAATTAAACAATCATTCATCCAGGTGTCTTCCATTCTATTTCGTAACTGATTATTCACTATATTCGTAACTGAAAAATCCCTTTCTACAGTAATTGTAGTGACAGGCAAAATCAAAGCCAACTTTAGGAGCATCAAAACCTCCAGGGTTACACTTGAGGTTACATCAAAATTCTATAGGTACTTTAAAAATTTAAGGGGGCCCCAGTGCCCCTACTGTAGATCCTCCCCTGACGATAAAGTTGAAGGATAAAAAAGGTAAAGAAGGTGCTCATGTGACAAGGGTTTTCTTCCCTTACACCTCTTTATCTTTCCTAGTTCATTCTAAGTTTTATTATTATAGAAGTTTGAATTTTGTGATCATTATGTGTTTCTAAAATTTGTGTCTAAAGTTATGAATGAACTTTCTATGTCTTGGTTGTAAAGTTTGCTTGGTTATTTAATGCTATTATTTTGAACAAGTTATTTAGTACTTTTGCTTATCCAATCATTTATTAGTTGGCCATTAATTGTTCTATTCTCAAAGTATTAAGTTTGCAATGAAAATTGAGGTTTAAAACTAGTTCAAAGAAGTGTTGAACCCAAGGAGTACGCTTATGAATGTAGATGTGCACCTTTATACCCTTAGTAGCTAATTTCATATAATTTCATAGAATTTAATGAATTTGTAATTGGTTTCATAACTACGAAAGTAAGTATGAATTAGTTGTAGATATAGTTGATACATCGGTGAAAGCGGTTATCATGTATATTAAAAAATCACGCCACAATTTAGCTGAGGTAATAAAATTCAATTAACTGGTAGATTCATTTACAAGAATAGTTAGAAATTTCACGATCCTAAGAACGTTATATTATTATTTTTACTTCTTTTATTTCATATTTGTAATGTAGATGTAATTTTTTGTATTTGTGATAGTCTAACTAATAAAAAAATTCAAAAATCACCAGTAACGAATCACCCTTTCTTGTGGAATCGACACCCTTCTATTCAATAAACAATCTATCTACTTGCAAAAATGAGGTAATAAGGTTTTTCAAATTGTAACGAATGATGAAACCTCGTCAAGTGTAAAAGACGTGGGCATGATTGAAGACTATTTTGTTAATTGTGATGCATGCATGATTCAGAATTCCTCTGCTGTTTTACCAATCATACAGGGATCCGTTTGGTCATTAAAATTTTGGAACCTTTGAGGCTGTTTATAATTTAGTCATTCGCAAAATATTTAATGCCAGCTCAATGGTTTGTCGTTTGGTATATTTGAATTTTCGCACAGCTCATGCATTGGAAAGCGGTTAATGGTCCAAAGGTTGTCGGGGCAGTGCTCAAATAATTGCAAAGAACCAAATTTCGTACGTCATGGATGTCCTCCAAAGGGGGCCAGTATCAGCCTCATCTTGATCAGCCTTCCAGCGCACTAAAGAAACATATAAATATAGTAGCCTTCCTCCGGGGTGTTTCTCCGACAAATTTTATGTAATGTACTCTATGTTAATTAGACTGTTTCCTTTTCACCAAAATGTTGTTCGCAATTACTCCTTTCGTTCCACTTTGATAGTCATGTTTTCCTTTTTCGTTTGTCTCAAATTATAGTTCACTTTTTAATTGAAGAATGTAATTGTATTTTAATTTTTCTAAAATACCCTTATTTAATGTAAGTTGTTGTTACTATAAATCTACCCCATTTAATGAGAGTTGATTCTTTTTTTACCATCAATTCAAGTTCCCATAAAATTGTACACTATTTAATGTGAGGGTATTTTAGAAAAATAGCAATCTAAATTTACTTTTCTAACAAAATTAACTACTTTTTCTTAAACTGTGTGAAAAAAGAAACGGGTCTATCAAAGTGGGACGGAGGGAGTATATGGTTTCTAAAAGAAACCGTACATTCTAGTAATAAAATTGCCAATGCGTGAAAGACTTTTTTTTTTTTTTCCCTTAAGCCACGTTGACCTGAAATCAGTTCCAACGGCCGGAAATTGGCTAATTGGACTATATTACGAAAAAGTGTAAGATCAAGGTGATTAAGTGCTAAAATTGAAAGTTGAGGCACAAATTACAATCTAGTAATATGTTGATCGGTGCAAAGTAAAATTAACCCATATATTAAAGAAAAGCAATACCAGGGTAGTCATCCGGTATGTCCTGTCTAATGTAGAGGTCCACCCTTGAAATGATGTAACCTCCTACTGCGCTGACCAGCTCAAAGATAATATACCCTGTTGCATACCGAAATTGTTTGGTTCCTCCTATAATCGCAAATTCATTGGCATCCACAGATCGCAGGGCAATTCCTTTAAATTCCACAGTGCTACCCATGTACTTTCCATTAGTGAACAGAATCGTTGCAGCAAGCGCCGTGTTGTTGCCATCAAGGGATGCTACTACTGGAATGGCTTGCGAACGACCAACTAGTGCGGATTCGATTGAAACGCCTTGTGTGAAGATATTATCATCGACGAAAACAGTTCCAAAATTGGCCAAATCCCCAAGTTACGTTGGGGAGACCTGCAACTGGGAAAATAGACTGAGCATCTCCACTTTGAAATTCGTGGAGGTACATCGTCAAATTTGTGAACAGAGTTTTTGATTGTCCTAAGCTTGCTAGTAAAAGCACGCTGAGAATTTGGAGGGATGCTATAGCTAAACCCTTTGCCATTGTTTTGTCGCAGAAACAAAGGAGGAGAAGAAAGAAGGAAACAATTTGGTGTAGCGTGATTCGTGATTCGTGAAGTATAAAGCTGATGAGGAGGACTGTTTGTGGGACCGCCGTTGAGGGGAGCACAGCGATATTCTCTTTCTAGAAAAAAATTCAAAAAAAAATGAAAATTTTTGTTCCTTTACCGCTTTTTTTTTTTTTTTTTTTTGTCAGCAACGATACATTTGTATAACCTATTCTATCCTAATCTAGGGGGAGGGGGAGCCTAAGGAGACTGTAGTAGGAGCTAGTGGGTATACAGACCCAACTAGACCAAGGGAGTGCTATGACACAACCCTTAGATTTTTTTCGCTGCTGGTAAGGTTTGAACCCTCACCAACAGCCCAAGGAGGGACTTAAGTCCCTTCCTGGTGGCCACTGGGCCAATCCCCAGTGGTTACCACTTTTCAATTGCAGTGTTATTGTGTTAATATAGCTCAACCTGCCTAAAATTGTACGGTGTAGCCGCAGAGGAAGTTTACCCCCACCACATCACCCGTTAAAAACAATTAAATTTATATGTATATAATTACATATGTGATATTTAATTTAATTAGTTACAAAATTATAATAATGATATTATTAGTTATAAATATTATATAATGTATATTAGTATTTGTAATATAATTGATATTGTCAAATGCTAATAATTATACATGTCTACTAATAGAAATTATTAATTAGTTGTATCAATTTTACTAATACATTTATACTAAATTCATAATTACACTTAACACAATAACACTTCTTTTCTCAAAAAACCACACAACAATGATTTAGTGATTGTATTTGTATCAAAAGGGAAAAATTGACTACTTTAGTTGTGTTTGTTTCATCATATTGGGCTGCATTTAAATAACTTTTGTTTGATTCTTTTTATGACATACAATTGTGAAATTAAAATGAATAATGATTTGGTGATGTGTTGGCATTTATGTATTTGATCCTTTGTTCAAATTTGACTACAATGAAATTGTATGACAAATTTTTATTCGCCCTGTGGGTGCGTCCATAGGGTAAGCGGGGCAAGGCGGGGACGGGGCGGGGGAGGAGTCCCCCGTCTAACCCCCACCCCATTGCCATTCCTAATTTCTTTTGCTATATAGTGTAATAATGGAAACCTTGAAAACTTGAAACACATTTACCAAAAAAAAATGAAATACATTTAACAGGGCTCCGAAAAATGACTAACTCCACTTTGCACCTTCAAATTTGTACCGGTTTAACAATGTTCCAAACTTATACTCAGGAGATAAATCAAACTTGACTTTTGATTTTTCTGCATATGAATGGTTTAAATGAAATAAGATTACGTTTCAAAGAGTTTGGTAGAGCATAAAAAGTTTTAAAACAGAATTAAACATCAATGGGTGGCCACCTATCAAAGTAGGTTTGTGTAGAATGGTATGGTATACATAGCAGATATGTCATTCAAAGTTCAGAGTCAAGAATTTCTTTTGCTATATATATAGTGAGATAATGGAAAGCCTTGAAATCTTGAAACACTTTTACCTAAAAAACAAATTACAAAACAATGAAACACATTTCACAAGGTTCTGGAAAAGAATTAACTCCGCTTTGCACCTTCGAACTTCTACCACCTTAATAAGGTTCCGAACTTACATTGAGTAGCTAAATCAATCTTGACTTTTGATTTTTCGGCATATAAATGGTTTGAATGAAATATGATTACATTTCTAAGAGTTAGGTAGAGCGTAAAAAGTTTTAAGAGAGAGTTCAATATAAATGGGTAGCCACCTATGAAAATTGGTTTGTATAGAGTGGTATACTCAGCAGATGTATCATTCAAAGTCGATTGTCGAGAATTTCATCTATTGTATTGTGGGATAATGGAAAGCCTTAAAAACTTGAATCAAAATTACCTGAAAAAAAAAAAACAAGGAAACACATTTAATAAGGTTCTAGAAAAGGATTAACTTAACTTTGCATCACCAAACTTATCCCAATTTTTCATTTTGTACCCTAAATTTTAATTTTGAACACTTTACACCCTAAGCTTTAATTTCACCTTTTAGTCTGGGGCCTTTCATGTTTGCAAATTGCATAAGAGCCACTCATTTTCTTGTTAGTTACGTGCAGTAATAGGCTTTTAGCATCCTCTCATTAAAAAATTAATTTTAAAAAATGTCCAAGTATAAGTTTCAATTTTGTAGTTGAAATTGAAAATGTTCACACATGTTTAGCTATTTACATGCCATATAGGCTTCCAACCTCCTAACCCTAAAATTTAGGGGGTTTTGGGGGAAGGGGAGGGTTGGATGAAGAACAGAGATTGAAATAATAAATCTTTTGTAGCCTTCATTAAGACATTGATCGAACAAGAGAATGTCTGAAGAGAAATTAGAATGAAACAAATATCTTAATTGCACTAGAGAAGTGCAATTGAATATAGTTCTCAAGAATGTAATTTCCGTTGATTTCTATGTAGCTGGTTGTTGTAAAATTTGTCTGAAGAGACAATCGAATACCCCCAAAACTCGCCGAATTCCGAACAATTCACATATCTTTTGGGGTCGTATTACAAGTCCACGTATGTTTCTCCCCTATTTAGAGGAAGAAATAACAAAAAAAAAAAATTCAAAAGCTGACTTTCCTGATAATATGTTTTTGCTCCGTCCAATCCACATATGTTTATATATGATTCAGCAGTAAAATCGAACAAAAGCTCAAAAGTTGACTTTCCCGTTTTATAAGGCATTGACTAACCATTTTGTGGCCAAACCATTATCCATCTTGACCATCTAAATGGTGCATTGCACTTTAGGCTTAATGCTCAATAAAACAGAAGTTCTTAACCATGTTAAGAAAAAATAGATGAAAAGGTCTTTTGTCACCTTTTATTAGTTGTGGTAGTTATATAGGAGAAGGATTACCATTTGTTAAACTGAGTAAAAGATTATTTTTCGTAAAACAAGTTGGATGTACATCATATGTAAAACAAAAATTATGAAAAATAAAGACTACCTTACAATTAAACTTGGTGTACAATTATCAGTTCAAGCAAATTTTAGGTGTAGATTTTATCTAAGTTTCAATACACATCTTTATTAGCAAATGCACATATCTTAGTTTAACACATTCACAAGCTTGCGTAATTGAAGAACACCAATAGTATAATTCACAAGCTTGCGTAATGCGAAACCACGTGTAATTGAAGAACACCAATAGTGTTTTTATGAAGATGGACATATTGACGAAACAAGAAGTGCACGAAGAAACGTCATACATTGATCACCGAGTACATATAAGTCCACAATAAAGATAAAAATCTATACTTGGTTTTCTTAATTATTATTTTTCTTTTATTAGTTATTTTTTCCCATCCTCCTAGATAGATTTCTTAGTAAGATGGTCGAGTGAACAAGTAGTACATAAGAAACATAGACCACCAAGTACGTATATATATGGTCTGTAATTGGCTTTCTTTATTATTGGTTTTTCCTTTATTGTTCAAACTTTCCCTCCTCCTGGGTATTGGATTACGGTAATATCGCCCCTTATAACCGTTTTATTCTGTGCCGGATTTTGCAGAACTGTCTGGAAAAATCCATATCCCCGAGCAAGCCTAAACGTTTGGGTACCACCAACTATTGGAATTTCTCTCGCCGTACCACCAACTTGTAAGTTATATCCTGGTCCTTGGAATTCCAATGTGCTACCGTTGTATTGGAAGTTGGAGAAAAGGAGGGAAAATATGCCCTGTGAGCTTGATCCATCACGGGATGAAGCTATGTAGATGCCTTGGGCCCGACCAATAGTTGGAGAATTGTTGCTGATGCCCTGTGTCATTTTAGCATCATTAACAATAATGGTTCCAAAATTGGAGGGAGTTCTCGGCATACCAGGGGCGCCGGCAACTGCAACACTGGTGGTATTTGGTCCGCCCGTAAACACTTGAAGGTACACAGTAATATTTGTTTCCTTTCCACGGCAGCAACAGACAGGGCCAAGAAGATCAGCTTCTGAACAAACAAATATTGCTAGTAATAGCACAAGGGAAATTTGGATGGATGCTAAAGCTGAACCTTTTGCCATTTTGTATGTTGAAAGGCTAGCTGAAAAACAAAGAAGGAAGAAACAAATTAGTTAGATGGTGAAGATAATTTGTTCAATGACCATATTTATAGGATGGAGGAGGTAGCAGTTGCAAATGGTTATAGTAGAACAATTAAATCAATCTTGACTTTTGATTTTTCCACATATAAATGGTTTAAATGAAATAATATTACATTCCAAAGAGTTGGGTATAGCACAAAAAGTTTTAAAAGATAATTAAACATCAATGGGTGCCGACCTATCACAATAGGTTTGTGTAATGGTGTGGTGTACTCAGCAGATATATCATTCAAAGTTCAGAGCCAAGCATTTCTTTTGATATATAGTGGGATAATGGAAAACATGAAACACATTTCCCTAAAAAAAAATGAAACACATTCAGTAAGGTTCTGGAAAAGGATTAACTCCACTCGGCATTTTCAAACTTGTACCACTATAACGAGGTTCCGAACATATACTCAGTATATAAATTAATGTTGACTTTTGATTTTTCTGCATATAAATGGTTTAAATGAAATAGGATTGCATTGGAAAGAGTTAGGTAGAGCATAAAAAGTTTTAAAAGAGAATTAAACCTCAATGGGTGGCCACCTATCATAGTAGGTTAGTGTAGAATGGTATGGTATACACGGCAGATAAATCATTTAAAATTCATAGTTCAGAATTTCTTTTAGTGATGGTCATCTAGGAGGGTGCCCACGGGCAAACGGGGCCGGGGGGGAGGAAGATTTTTTTTCCCCATTAGAAAACGGGGTAGCCGGAGAGGAAGTTTACCCCCACCCCATCACCCGTTAAAAACAATTAAATTTATATGTATATAATTACATATGTGATATTTAATTTAATTAGTTACAAATTTATAATAATGATATTATTAGTTATAA